CAGTACATATCTATGAGACAACACTATGGATATGTGAATAATGTACAGAGCTCTTGATTTTTGCATACATACACACACACACATTTTTTTATCTTGTTTTTTGAGAAAGGGTCTCACTATGTAGCCTAGGCTGGCCTTGAACTCTCAATCCTCCTGCCTCTGCCTCCTGAGTGCTGGGATTATAGGCCTGTGCCACCCATCCACTGCTGACTTCATCATATATTCAAATGACTTTCCTCAAACCTAGGGCATTATAACAGATAAGGGCACAGTAATTCATAGGTTTGAATTCTCATCTATGAAATGGGGCAAATTAACATGCCTGTGCCACAAGGTTTTCTGAGAAATAAGTCTATTAAGATAAAGCTGGCGGTGTGGCTCAGTGGTAGAGCACTTGCCTAGCATGCAGAAGGCCCTGGGTTTCTCCTTAGCACCACAAAAAAAGTAATAAATAGGGAAATCCATTAATGTATGTAAGCTTATATAACATGCAATACATGCACATGGTAATGTATTTTCAGAGACACTAACAAATCCTTTTACATAGACTTCCTATGGCAATGGTTGATTACATTTATCACACACAGATCTGCTTTATGTTGATTTTTGCTGCTCACACTATACCCGGGATTTGGGTCAGTGTCTAGCAGTTGTTGATATATACATATGGAAAGGAGAGAGGGAGACAGTGAGAGGGAAATGAAAAGGTTTCGTCTCTTTGCCTCAATGAATCCACCCCTGAAGAAACTATTCTATGGGGCACCAAGTTCCCCTGTTCAGAGATGCTCCCAGCAATGGTGCTAGTCTTCAGAGCAGAAGGCCAGAACAGCTTCAGTTGGCTTACACTCGTGCACCTGCTTTTGAGCACATTCCTTGACAAATCCTTTTCTTTTTCTATACTAAGTCTGAACTCAGGGCCTCAGTGTAGCTGGGATAACAGGTAGTCACCACAAGCCCAGCTTTTTGTTATTGAGATGGCAGTCTTGTTAACTTTTTGCCAGGGCTGCACCTAAGTCTCAGTCTTCCTTGTCTCTATCTCCTCAGTAGCTAGGCTTACAGGCATGAGCCACTGCTGCCCAGCTCTCCCTTGATACACTGTTTGCCCCCTTTTCCTTTCCCTGACTGAAATGTGCATGGTTCTCTGAAGACACATGTGTGTGCACGTGTGTGTGTGCATGTATGTGTGTGCGTGTATCTCTGTGTGTGTGCGTGTGTAGGCGTATGTGTGTGCATGTGCACGTATCTGTGTGCATGTGTTTATGTGTGTATCTGTGTGCGTGTGTGTGCACGTGTGCGTCTGTGTGCATGTGTATATGTGTGTATGTGCGTGCATGTATGTGTATGTGTGTATCTGTGTATGTGTGCGTGTGTGTCTATGTGCATATGTGTGTGCATGTGTATATGTGTGCGTGCATATGTGCATGTGTGTATGCGTGTGTGCACATGTGTGTTTGTGTGTGCATGTGTGCGTCTATGTGCGTATCTGTGTATGTGTGTATCTGTGTATGTGCATGTGTGTGCGTGCGTATGTGTGTACATGTGTCTATGTGTCTGCATATGTACGTATCTGTGTATGTGTGCATGCGTATGTGTGTGTGCGCATGTGTGTGTGCACGTGTGTATCTGTGTTCGTGTGTGCATGTATGTGTGTGTGTTTGCGTGTGTGCGTTTGTATGTGTGCATGTGTATCTCTGTGTATGTGCATGCACGTGTGTATGTATCTGTGTATGTGTGCGTGTGTCTATGTGCATATGTGCATATGTGCATGTGTGTATGCATGTGTGCACATGTGTGTCTGTGTGTGTGCGTGTGTATCTGTGTTCGTGTGTGTGCATGTGTTTGCGTGTGTGCGTTTGTATGTGTGCATGTGTGTCTGTGCATGTGCATGCATGTCTGTGTGTATCTGTGTATGTGCGCATGCATGTGTGTGTGCGTGTGCATTTGTGTGCACGTGTGTGCATTTGTGTCCGTGTGTGTATTTGTGTATGTATGCGTGTGTGCGTGTGCGTGTGTGTGTGTGTCTACACTGGGGATGAAACCCAGGGTTTTCCACATGCTGGACAAGCCCTATGGCTGAGCACCCCCACCTGAAGATTTTTACAGTAAAGGAGGATTTAATTCTCACCTTCCTAAGGTACAGAGGCATGGTAAGTCCCCCTAATATGACTTCCAAATCTTTTCTTCTTCCTGTTCCTGCAAAAACAAAACAAAAAGATCCTTTTTCTGAAGACCTTACTATCAAATGACACCCTATCCTTCCTCCTTGCTTCTGCCATCTACAAATCTCCCTCTGCTCCCCACAATTTGATAGTTATTTCAGCACCTGGCTTTCTACCCTTATTCCTTTCATCATTCTTGGTGACTTCCACATTTGGACAGTCTCATCCTATGTCTTGGCTTCTCGGTTTCTTTGCTCTCTCATTCCCAGAATCATGTTTGTCACCATCTTTGAAATCTCAGTTTCAAGCATCTCATTCTCCAAGTTTTCCCCATATTCTAGTTTTTTTGTTGCTCACTTATTCTTCTTCGGTCTCATCAAGAGCCCCCAGACCTCCAGTCCAGTTTTCTCTCCATCAGTTCACTCCTACCTTCTCTGCTTGTCCAACCCAACTTCTCCATTCCATGGCACATGCACTTCATGGGTTTACATCCCAGCTCTGGCATTTATTAGCTGCATCACCCTGGTTACTTAACCCCTTTACTGTACTTAGTTTCTTATCAGTAAAATGGAGTTGTGGTAAGGATTAAGTGAGTTACTGTTTTAATCCTTTAGAATAGTGCCCAGCACATAATATTCAATGCATGTGCTGTTGTCTAGGTCTTTATAGTTTTTTTTTTTCATTTAGATAGTTAGGATACTTGGGAGTGGTTTTTTGTTGGTTTTGATTTGGTTTGTTTTATTCATGTTTTGAGTCTTTTTTTTTTCAAGTAGTGCTATGGTTTGAATGTATGTGCCCCTTCATCATTCATGTTGCAATTTAAACCCCAAGGTGATTAAGAGGGTGGGGCTTTTGGGAGGTGCTACAATTTGTGACTTAAGTGTCCCCCAAAAGTCCAAATGGTAAAGGCTTGTTCCCCAACATGGTGCTATTGAGAGGTTGTGGCATCTTTAGAGGTGGGGCCTAGTGAAAGGTCCTTAAATCACTGGGGAGGGAAAGTGCATCCTTGAAGGGGATAGTGGGACCTCGGCCCCTTCCCCTTCCTCTTTGCTTCCTGCCACACGCTCCTGCCATGATGTGCTGCCTCACCCAAAGCAGCAGGGCCAACCAATTACAGACTAAAAACCTGCCAAACTGTGAGACAAAATAAACCTTTTTCTTTACAATTACCTCAGACATTTGTTACAGTAACAGAGCACTGGAGATGATTAGGCCATGAGGGCAAGAGCCCTCCTGAATGGAATAAAACAGCTTCAGAGAGCTGCTTGGTCTTTCTATCTCTTCTTCCATGTGAGAACACAGCATTTGTCCATTTTTGCCCTTCTGCTCTTCCATTATGAACACATGGTCTTTCTGAAGGACACAGCACAAGACGCCATCTTGGAAGCAGGGCAGCCCTCACCAGGCACCAAGTCTGCTAGCACCTTGACCCTGGATATCATATCCAGAACTGCGAGAAGTACGTTTATGCTATTTACAAGTCACCCAGGCTGGCATTTTGATATAGCAACAGCAATGGACCAAGACAGGTTGATAGGCAGTTTTATCAATAGTTTGTATTTTTCACTGACTTGAAATGTTACCTTGAAGAGTAATGAGCTATCCCTAGATGGGTCCTAGGAGGCCTCAAAAAGTACATGGTCAGCCATGATAACCAGCTGTTTCAAAAGAAAGCTATTCAATTAGCACTCTTGAATCCTTGAGATCCTGCTAAAGGTAGAAATTTTAAAGCTGAATTTTAATAATGTTCAGAGACATGGCCTCTTCCCTCAAAGCCCCACCCAAACAGAAAACCAGGAAAGCCACCCAAGTTGCCCTACTTAAGGGACTCACCTGAGGGATGTGATCTTGAAAAAGCACAGTCAATCTAAAAATGTGTATAGCACAAGCTATTTTTTCCAAAGTAGTAACAGGAAGGGAAGAGGTTAAGAGACTCAGTCACACTGAACTTTATACTAAGAGAATATAAGGCACGTGCATAAAAGGCAGGATACATTTAACTGTGAAGGGTAGCTGGAGTTAGCAGAGTTTCACAAGCAGAAGAGGCTGATCTGCATTTCATGATTATTGTGTAGAGGGAGGCTGAGCACCACTGGGGTTCTATCTTCTGGTCTTGTGTTGCAGTCAAATGTGGCAAAAAGTGACTCAGTCACACAAGTCCAACATGAAATGGTAATCAAAAATGAAACAAAGCTGTGTATGGTGTAGGTCCTATAATTCCAGGTACTAGGGAGACTGAACAAGAGGATCGTGAATTTAAGCCCACCCTGGGCAACTTCTCGAGACCCTGTCTGAATAAATGAATGAATGGATGGATGAGTGAAGGGCTGGGGTGTATTCAGTGGTAGAATGCTTGCGTAGCATGCATAAAGCCCTGGGTTCAATCTTCAGCACCACAAAAGAAGAAAAGGGAAAAAAAACCACATTCCAAGGAAGAATAGACATATAGACATGCTGCATGCTGACCTTCTCTGACTATACAGTGCTGCTCTCCTGGTGGTGGCTTTTGCTGGTACCTGTCAGGCACTGCCGAACAAGCAAATTTGCACAGTGAGGCAAGCCTAAACAGAGAGCTCAAAATATTCTAAATGAAGATAGGGTGGTATATAGATTACAGCCCCAGAGTCCCTCACAGTGAAATAAGGAGTAGCCAGGCTCCTGTATGAACTCAGGATGCTACAAGTACATGCTGAAAGGCAAGTTGCCTAAAACGGTCCCACCCCCAGATAGGTTTGAAAAGACAAATTGCTATCATCCCACTTTGCCCCAGTCTTCTTCACTACCCTAGCCCCCATTTCCTTGTCCCATCCTTGAGAAGTAAAATAGTAGTAATATAGTGTATCCAGTCACCAAGATCTACCAAAATTCATGGTCATGATGAAGGCTGCTGCTGGAGGAATAACACGTGTCATCAATCTCCCTGTATTTGACCACAGGTCACAGTGGAAGCTCAGGGGATTAGACAGCATCCTGCAATGCTGGGCAGGGAAGTGAAGGAAAGGTAATGCCAAACAGACATAAAACTAAAATGTTAATGTGATCTTTATTATACAGCACGTCTGGTATTTGTGCATCCTAACAATTATAGAATACTCTATAAAACCAAGCCCAACCATTCAAAATTACACTAAATGAAGATATACCCATAGTTGCATCTTTTAAAAATATACACAATTAACACGGTCCTGCTGTAACAGTGCCCTGGGAAGAGCCAGGCAGCACAAGAAAGGAAGGAGTAGAGACTGACATTTGTGTCAAAATAATTTTCTTTTGTTATTGCACTTTTACTCTACACACTTAGTATGTTATACTTTTATTTAACATTGTAATAAACATTAGTCCTTTGAAACAGATAAAAAACATTACATAAAGACAAAAGACAATGAGCTATCCAGACCAACTTTGTCATCAGCCCTCTGGACAAGGTGGCCTCCCCAATGTCAGATGTTCTCACACAGTTTCTGCCATCAACTCAATTGGACTAGATGTTAACAAAGCAGATGAAACCTCCAGGGGAGTTTGCGACACAAGTATCCCAAGATCACTCCTTCCTTACTCACTTTAATATCACACTAGCTCAAGTTCACCCCCCCCCATTTCTAGAAGAATAAACCCTCATTTTCTTTTAAAGAAAAAGTGGGTTATTTGATCCAGCAAATCCAAACAGCAAGCTTTGAACACAAAGAAAGCAATACCTCCTTTGGCAATGGATTGTTCCAGGGCTGTTAACCCCACTTTGATGCAACATGGACTTGGTAGGTTTCAACTGGCCAAATGGAACACTAAAGGCATGGCATCTCTCCAAAGCAAGGCCAGAGGGTGCCTCAGTTTCCCAAAGTGCTACTGTAATCACCAATCCCCCTGGGCTTCTCAGTGCTAAACAGTAAGCCAAAAAAATAAAGTGTCTTTCAGTGCAATTGTCACTTTGAAGCCCTGCTACCCTGGGCCACTTTTGCCAGGAAAAACATTTTCAACCAGTATTTGACTTTTCTGTGGTTTTTGGTGCTGGGATTGAACCCAAGGCCATGTACATGCTAGGCACTCATTCTACCACTGAGCTACATCCTCAACCCTCCAACCCCTCTTTGGAAGCTCAAGCAAAGATACAAAAGCAGAGCTGACAGGTATTGGCCCAGAGTTCTAACATTCTCCTGCTTCTATAGTTAACAGTAACATATTCTTTCCTCCACTGTTTCCTAGAGCTTTAGTGTTAAAAATCAGGAGCAGCTTCTGACTAGTCTGTCCCCTTAAAAGTAGATGTCAAAATAGACTCTCTTTGGTCTGGGAACAACCAGGGCAGTCCTCCTTCCCAGAGAAGTGAAAGGCCTTCTCAGTTAAGTGGCCACTGCAGAGCACCAGGGCACCATGACCTGCCTGGGGGAACCTACCCTGACTGAGTGAACATTCCTTGAATATATCGCTGCTAGCTCTCTAGGCACAGGCTCAGCCAATCCAGGGCCCCAGGCTTCACCAGCATTTCTTCTGATTGCTCTGCAAGAAAGATCTCTCAGTTCTGAAGCAAAAAGAGTAACCAGTCTTCAAGCTCATTAAAAATGGCCAGGTGATCATTTTTAGGCTGGGGTAAAATGCCCTCATTACAATTTTTAAGGATAGAACACAGTAAGGATAATTCTCCATACCATCCTTCTTCCTCCCTCAACACAATCTCACTTCATCACTTGGGAACACAACCAAAGCTGGGAGGAAATTCTTCAGGACTTTGGCCATGCTAAGTCATGTACTGCCTATGGTGCCATACCTAGTGTTTTCCCAAGCAATATACAATACAGTACATTTCATGGCATTCCATCACTTTAATAATAATGGGTGCCAAGGAATCCAAAATTAGCTAACAAGGTTATAAAACAAAAGTAAAGTATACACATATTATACACATGTATTCTCGCACTCAGCCTGCTGAGTAGTTAAATAACACCACCAAATATCCATATGTGGACTTTGGCTAGTCTGGAGATTTTTAGGAATATCTTGCACCTTTCTCAGAATACTTTTTTTTTTTTAATAAACTATAAAACAACTACTTATTTCCTTATTTACCATAGTCCCTCTCTTCCTCCCACTGGGCAAAAAATATAGGGAATTTGCTAGAAAATTGGTACCCAAGAGCAGACTAAGCCATAGTGGATAAACTGAAAAAGGACTCAGAGTGGGGGGAAAAAAATCTAACCTCCCATGTATGAGTATGAGCTTAAACTTTCAAAGAGTGTTAGGAATGTGATTTCTACAATGGAAGTACAGACTCCTGATTATAGCTAAAGTTAAAAATACAAGAGTCTGCAGTTCCCTAACTAACTACATAAGACTTTTCTGGAAATTTCATTCAGACTTGACTTATAGTGATTTTCTCATAAGTAAAGACTACTCATTTCTCCTTTCTTAACTCAACATCTAGCCCATCATAGTCCCTAGAAGGGCAACAAGTTAATGCTGAGGAGAATGGAGGAACTTGAAGTACAGTCGAAGTGCTAAGAGGTATACTGAACATTCTACCAAAACCAGGCTGGAACCAATAAAACTAAAAAACACCGAGTTAGTCACTTAATCATTTGTAAGTAAACAGATTTATAGCATTATATGGAGTTTCTGAAGGGTTGCAAGTGCTTAGGGGCTACTATGCTTAAATGTATTATAATCATAGCCCAGGGTGACTACAGTTAAAACTGAGCTTTAAAAATTATATAAAGCTGGTGTACAGCTCAGTGGTAGAGCACTTGCCAGCATACATGAAATTCTGGGTTCAATCCCCAGCCCCACAAAAAAAAGTTATGTATATAAAAATTTATTATAGACTCCATTTATATTCTATGTAAGAGACAGTCATTCAATTATAACTCTAGAAAACCCTAGCAACTAATGTAACACATTAAACACCTATTTGGGGACCTATTTCATACACTTTGCTTTGTTTTTTTGAGACAGGGTCTCACTATATAGTTAAGGCTAATCTCAAACTTGCTATGTAGCCCAGGCTGGCCTAGAACCTGAGAGTCTCAGTCTCTCAAGTGCTGGGATTACTGGTGTGCACCACCATGCCTGGTTATTTCACATACTTTGGAGTGGACATAGGGGCCAGACCACAGAGAGAAGCTATTTTCCTCTTCTGCCTATTCACCTGCCTATGTTTCTAAACCTAATGGACCAGTTTGGTGGAGGGAGACTTCCAAGTCAAGACCTGAGATGCATCAGTGTTTAATCTGTTACCCTCTTCTGACTGGAATCAGTTTCTCTCTAGTGTACTTTGAAAGTCTCCTTGTTCTCTTTTGTCCGATTCTTTCTTCTAACAGATTATATTTAAAATAACATAAAAAGAAGGAACAGAAGAAACCTTGGCTTTTTAAACCACTGGTCAAGCTTAAAAATATTAGCGTGTTAGATTCAAATACAAAAGAGAGTTTTAACATTTTTAAGTTTCAAAGACAAACTGTAGCCCTCCTAGGAGGTTCAGATACAGGCCATAGCCTCCTAATACTTCCCAACTCTCAGGTCTCACTGGGTCAGTTCTATTTAGACACTCACACCTAAGTATCATGTTATTTGCAGCTTTCCCTTCTGCCCAAAAGAGGGCAGGAGATTAGGAAGACCTAAGAGTAGAACAGATTCTGTTCTGGGGTTAGCAGTAACTCAAAATTGTGTGTGTGTGTGTACACATGTACACACTTTTTTTTGCTTCTTGTTAATATAACAGCGAAACCCTCTCCTACCCTCCCAGATCTCAGGCATGTGTGGCCCCATAATGTAAACACACTGCACTATAAGCAACAGAGAGCTTTGTTTCTAGCTCCCTCCCTGGGGCTTCTGACTGTTACCACCTGAGATTCCCCAGTTACAAATAGCAGGAACCAGGAAACCTCAAGTTGTTTTTGTTATACTCATGTTCACAGAATCCTGAACTAAGGCTGAATTTTCTATGTGGTCCTTACCACTAGGTAGACCCAAACTACTCCTAGCTAAAGCTGAAATCATGAAAGCGATACATGTTTAACACTATTGCCACTGTGCCACTACTTGTTGCCTTATAAACACAGCATAGTGACTAGACAATGGTAACATTTGTTTCCTTTTAGGTTCAGAGGTCAGAACATTACATTCTTCAGTTTTTATACATCTTAGACAATCTTTTGCCAAAGGACAGCATGGGACATCAGTGAACTGCCCAGAATGCTTAAACAGCTATCCAACTCTTCACTGTCCAGGAGCCATCTCTGCCCAGGAAGGTCTCAAGTTGCCAGCAAGCACCAATTCCCTCAGCTCCCTTAATGAATAAATGTCAAATTCTCCCCATGGGTAAAAGGTAAGGGGAAGGAAAGAAACAGAGAATGGAAGACAAAAGGCCTTTGATATCAAGTAGAATCATCTAGCCCTCTGTTCGGCTGCTCAGAATTGGACTTGCAGAGTCGGTCCATGATGCTCCGAAGCATGGGCTGGACAATGCCCAAGAGAGGCCTCTTAGAGGGGTCACCATCCCAACAGGCTTCCATCAATTGCCAGCACTCCTCATCAAACACAGGGAGACGTTCTGGGCGGGTCCCTAGAGAGAGCAGCACGGAAATATGGCCAGTCAGTGAGAGGGGCCCAGCATGACAGTCTGGTCATGCCTCTAGGGAGCTTAGGAACCTAAGGAATACAAGGAGCTTTGGCTTCCTCTGCAAATATCTAGGGTAGAACCTAGTAGGAATAGTAGCAAAACAAAACAACAACAAAAACTGGAACACACTGGCATAGGAAATTAAAGAACTGGAAATCTTAAAGGAAAAAACACTTTTGAGAATGTTCAATTGTGCTGCTGGGATTCCATGTGGAATCCAGAAAAATGTGGTCCTCTGTGGAGTGGTCAGAAGAGGATGACAAGGGCCCCTGCTGCAGTGCCTTGGCTCAGTCTACTCTCACCAGGGGAGTTAGGGCAAAGCAATGCTTGTGGCACTTACCTCTCCGCACGTTGTTCCAGAGATGGTCTTTGCTGGCACATCTCTCAAATGCCTCAGGGAGCTTGACAGAGCCTGAGCAGATATACCAGAAAAGAATCCCAAAAGCGTAGACGTCCACAGAATTATCGTACTTTCCTAGCAAGAAGGGATGAACAGCAGTGAGCCAGGGAGAGGAAGATAGCAGCACTGCTGCCACTTCGTAATTGCAGGTCTTTATATGTTTCTTCTAAAGCTTCAACATCCACTGTCCTTCCTAACAACTGTGCCCATTTTTACAAATCAGGAAACTATGGTGCTGGGAGGTCAAAGCTAAATGCTAAGTAAGCTAAGACTAGAACTTAACAAAAGACAAGAAAAATAAGACCTTTCATTTTAATGGGACAGTCTGCAAGATTAATCCTAAAAGGTTGTATTTGGGAAATACAGGTGCATGGGTACACAAGAAGCAGAATATAAACATTTTTAGCTGGATGTGGTGGCGCACACCTGCAACCTCAGCACTTGAGAGGCTGACAAAGGAGAATCACGGGGACTACAAGTTTCTTAAAGACAGAAGAGTCTAGATCTAGTGGATAGTAAGAGGCCATTTATGTGTTAGAGCTGGTGGTAAAAAGGTACTAATAATATTAGAAAGATAATTCTGACAGCAACTGCGTGGACCGCAGTAGAAATAATCAAAGGAATTTAAATAGGAAGCAGTTAAAATAAAGTAACAGCAGTAGGAATAGAATTTTTAAAAAGTAAACCTAAGAAAAGACAAATGATGACTGTCTATTTGGTCTCTATTTGGGCAGAATTACAGTTCTCAACCTAACTCCTTGTCCATGTGTGTATCACATGGTAAAGAGGGTAAAGAGATGGGGACAGAATGGTGTGTGAAATGAGAAAAATATCCAAATACACTGCTAATTTTAGCTCTTACCAATACTAAGGTTTGACCTGTGATTATCTTCCCACCTTCCCCGTCCACATAAGCTCAAAACTTCAGTCATCTTTTGGGCATTCATTTCTATTCATTACTCACATCAAGAGAGTAACAAAATCTTGGCTATTCTCACTGAATTGATCTCAAATCTGTCACACTGTTTTGTTTCAACATTAATACCAACCTATTCCTGGAGACAACCACTACTTAACTAGTCTCCCTATACTGATTCTTTTCACTCAAATCCCCTCTACGTGCTATTGCTAAGCTAATCTCCAAATACATTTTCTTGGTATCTCTCAAAGCTCAGTAACTCCTGACTTTTTGTACAATACTAACTTCTCTGAAGAATTTTCAGGTTCAATATTATTTATCTCCAACCTTGTTTGCTATTATTCCCCAACATGGATCTCTTTTCTGTCATGCTTATTTCTAGTCTATGATTTCCCCTTCTCCTGTCTCCAGAAGTTTCTTTCCTTCACAATACATGGTTGGCCTGTGGAGAAACAAAGTCCTAAATTTAAAATCCCATATCCATTATCTTCTAGCTCAGTGTTTTAGGGGTGAGTTACTTCATCAATCTGGTCTCAACTTTGTCCACAAAATTGACATAAAAATGCATAAACATCTGGAGGCGTAGCTTAAGTTGTAGAGCACCTGCTTTGCAAGCATGAAGCCCCAGTCCCACCAAAAAAAAAAAAAAAAAAAAAAGTTTTGCTGAGCACTGGTGGCTCACACCTGTAATCTTGAGAGGATGAGATTGGAAGGATGGCTGTACAAAGTCAGCCTGGGTAAACTGTTCACAAGACCCTAACTCCAAAATAACCAGAGCAAAACAGACTGAAGGTGTGGCTCAAGTGGTACAGTGTCAGCTTTATAGTGTAAAAAGTCCTTAGTTCAAACCCCAGTCCCACCAGAAAAAAAAAAAAATCAACATTACTGCATTATTTGAGAATTAAATGAAACAAAATACACAGTTGCCCACATGACCTTACTTCAAATATATACTTAATAAATGTGAGTTTCCTTTCCACTTACCAATTTTTCCAGATCTGACTCAAGTTCTACCAAAATCTCACCTCTACCACAAAATGATTAAACATTTCAACCTTTTTTTATCCTGTCACTGAACACCAACAGTATATTACATACATATATATGTACATAATTATATAGCCTTTAATTTAGCATTTCATACTACCTTATACTGCTTTCAAATTATTTGACTATCAATTTATCTCTATGTCAACTATAGGTTCCTTAACAAAGACACCTTCTATTAATTAGGAGTTATTCAGTCAAAACCTCATGGTAAACAACTGGCTGATTATGGCAATTATGGCACTAATTACCTAGAAATACCTCCAAAAGAGTACTTGGTGACTCCCATTTGCATGTTTCTTTCTCATTCCTTTACCTCTTTACTATTCCCCTACTTGCCTTCAGCTCCCCCTGTTCCCTGGTCTGTGCCAGACATGCCAGCAGTACTGGTGCACACTACTTAGTACCCTCGAGGGGTAGCACTAGAGGTTAAAATACTGAGCCAAGATCAAACCCACGCCCTGCACAGCCTTACCTGTGAAAAGTTCAGGGGCCATATGGATTGGTGTCCCCACAATGCTGCCTGACATCATGGCCTCTGGCTTGCAGAATCCTAGGTCAGTGATCTTGGCACGATTCTGTTTGTCCAGCTGCCAAAAGCAGGGTGAGTCACCTTGTTTCTGATGCTGCACACAATACTCAGCTGCAAACTCAGTTTCAAAGTAGGTACCTCAAAGTAGTACTTAATAAACACTGCCTCCACCCTCACTATCTCTAAATTCACTCCTATTACTGTCTTCCTCTCTATACTCTGAGCAACCTGGTGGCAGGGACTGTTTGTTTCATCTTTGTATTCCTGGCACTTAGCATAGTGCCTGGCACAAATCAAGACTTTCATAAATCTTAGAAGAATGAGTAAGTCCATGGAAGGACACTGAGGAGACATTTCAGTTCCCTGTACTCCTTTTGACTTCAAGGCAGAAAGCTGATAAGAAAGTTGAGGTCTTTTGGTCAGCTGAGGAGACTCCTGTAGTATTCTTTCATAAAGCTCCAAAAGAGGACTGAGGGGTAGGGAGAAACTGAGAGCCTGCCTAGCATATGCAGAGGACTGGGTTCTATTCCCAGCACCACAAAAGCAAGAACAAAAACAAAAAAGTAAATAAACCTGTCTCATTTGGTTATCAATCAGTCTCTTAGTCTCTGCCTACACTTTTAGAGCTCCTTCTCTTGCCCCAAACTGCTATAATCTTTGTACATTATTGAAGTGTTTCTAGAAACACCTTGATGATACTCTTAATATATTTTCAAAAGGAATATGTCAAAAAATTCCTTTTTTTTTTTTTTAATAGCACTGGGGTTTGAACTCTGGGCTTTGCATCTGCTAGGCAGGTGCTCTATCACTTGAGCCACGTCTCTAGCTGCAGAAGATTCTTTAGGTAACAGGACTAGCAAGTTCATGACTATCTTACCTTTTAAGATATATTCACTCAATTTAGCTCTCATCCAGTAATCTCTCAACAAACCCTAAGCAATAACAAAGACCTGGGCGCCTCAAAAATATCAATATTGGGCTGGTGGGGTGGCTTAGGGGGTAAAAAGCTTGCCTAGCAAATACAAGTCCCTGAATTCAACCCCCAGTACCACCAAAACACCCCCAAAATCCAAAAACAGCAATGTCATTAAGCAAAAAAGGGCAGAAAGACCATTCTAGATAAAAGGAGACTAAGGAAGTATGACAACAAAAATGCACTGTATTATCCTTGGATGAGATCTTGGATCAAACAAACAGATCATATTTGGGGCAATGGGATAGATTATAGACAATTGGACCATGCTAATATAGACTGTATATTAAATAACAGTATTGTATCAATGTCAAATTTCTTGAGTATGCTAATGACATTTTAATTATCTAGAAAACTGCCTTTTTTCTTAGGAGATACATATTGAGGTATTTAGGAATGAAATATTATCTGCAACTTACTTTCTCATACTTCAGGCACACTGGTATGTATGTGTGCACATGCACACTGTGAGTGAAAAGCAGGTCTATGAGTGAGTATGCTAGGAGAAACAGAGAATACAAGTCTGGGGCTGAGCACAGTGGCTCACGCCTGCAAACCTAGCTACTTAGGAGGAAGGGATCAGGAGGATCACTGATTGAGGCCAGCCTGGGCAAAAAGTCTATGAGACTCCATCTCAACCAATAGAAAGTGGGGTATGGTGACATGCCCTGTTGTCCCAGCTACATGGGAAGCAAAAATAGGAGGATCGCAATTCAGGCCAGTCCGGGGGAAAAATAACTGAAAGTGAAAAGGGCTGATAGGTGGCTCAAGTGGCAGAGCCACTCAGGGACAAGGCCCTGAGTTCAAACCCCAGTACCACCAAAAAATGAAAAACAAAAAAAATCAATAAAACAAATCTGGATAAAGGCTATGTGAGTCTTCATTGTGACACTCTTTCTGCTTTTCTGTAAAGTTAAAATTTTTCAACAGTGTAGGGGAAAAGCCTATACAATATAAGGTAGGTCTATGTTGAAACTCCTTCCTAGGCTCAAATCCAAAACATCATCCATCCACTATACTAGTAACTCTATTTTCCATGTGGACTTTTCCTAGGACCAAACTGATGTTTATATATACCCTCCAAAAGGTCACTTAACCCACAGAAGGAATGAATCTTCTTGGTCATAGCTCTTACTTACCAGCACATTTTTCAGCTTGATGTCACGATGGACAAGCCCCTGACTATGCAGGAAGCGGATCCCCTCTACCACATCTAGAGCTATCTGCAAACGTGTCTCCAGCGTCAGCCCAGCCTTAGGGAGACAAAAGAGCCTGTGTGTCATGACAGGGCAACACTTCAGCTCAACTTGCTTGAAGCAACTGAGACTTCTGACTGTGGGTCACTAAATGACTAAAGCAGTTGAGAGGGAAGCAGAGGAAAAGCAGGAAGAGCAAGCTGTAAAGGACACAAGCCAGGTAAAATCCCTTTCGGGCTGCAGGTAGGGCCAGCTGGACAACCCCCAGATGTGAGTAAGACAGGAAATGAATGACGGAAAGCACAAGCTCACTTCTATTAACTGAATGACTCTGGGACTGCCCTTAAGGCTATTTCTAGGTCCATTAGGCAGACTTACTTTCATTGCTTTCTAGGCCCAGTTAGCCCAGGTTTGGTTTTCACTCATATTACTTCAATTTTAGTCTCCTGAATTCTGGAAAAAGTCCTATCACATACCCAAAAGATCACATGGGGTCCTCCAGCCTGCTTATGTCATCCTTTTTTTTTTTTTTGGCACTACTGGGGTTTGAACTCAGGGCCTCATGCTTGCTAGGCAGGTGCTCTACCACTTCAGCCTCTCCACCAGCCCTCCGGCCCACTTGTGAAAAAGCATCAGGTGCTACTGAGCTTAACTCCTCTGAAATGAAGAAGAGTTTGTGACTCTCCACTTAGAGCCATTTTCTTCACATTACTGACTCCTCAGGACACTGATTCGCCTTTCTAAGGATTTCTCTGCCTTACTTCTGGAAGAATCCATATAAACATATACAATGAGAAGGTGTGAAAAGGATACTAGCCAGACACTCTGAGGTCAGCTTCTTTCTCCTTCTACTCTGTTCTAATGTACTGGTGGCTGTTTTAGAAGAGGGTTTAAATTCAACTGAGGGTTGAATTCTCAAAATTCTTCAGTGGTATATCCTAATTCATTTTTAAAAATCAAGATCACATAAGTGATTTTTTTTTTTTTTTGGTGGTTCTGGGTATTGAACTTAGGACCTTGTACATGCTGAGCACGTGCTCTACCACTGAGCTGCATCCCCAACCCTGTATCAGCAATTTTTGCTTTAAACCTTATCAGGGTTTATGCTGGAGTGTGTAGGTTGTATACCCTCACATTGTTCCAACAAATTTGAATCCTATGGAAATTCTTAACATTTTGACTCCCAGTATAATTTGTTCCCAGTATCTCTTTGCATGCTATATCCCCTTATTCCCAAGATAAACCAACTGCTCCAAAGTGCCTGGTGTTCTTATTCACCTTCACATACCCTGGCATTATGCTCTTCCTTTCCCCTGGTATAGCTTCTTTCCAACTATCCAAATTCTACCCATCAAGGTACATATGTCAAACTCAAATTCCACATCTTCACGAAATATTCACTAATTACAATTCTCTTAAAAGATCCTGGAAATTAGGCTGGCAGTATAGCTCAAGCAGTAAAATGCTTGCTTAACAGGTGTGAGACCCTGAGTTCAGTCCCTAGCATCACAAAAAAAAGTTCCTGGAAATTATACTTATATATAATTACTGTGCTTAATACAGGGCCTTGTACAAAGTAGCTGCTAATAAATATTAAGAATATATACTGGGGCAAAAAATACGTTCTGAGAATTGTTTAAGGTTTTCTGGAAATAAGTGCAGTAAAGCCTGATTACTCTAACACTCTAACGTGAGAAACTCTGAATAAACAGGAAAGAATTAAAGTCCAAAAAGTGGGAAGGAGGGCCTAAAGGAAAAAGAGAAGAAATGAAGTAGTGGGTCTGTCTTCCAGCTGAACCTTGCCCTCTCCTGGCCTCACCTCACCTTCAGCCCTGTGTAGAGATCCCGGTGTAGTCGCTCCATAATGAGCAGCACAGCAATGCTGGAGCCACCACCATAGTTGTAGTCGATGACTGACCCATGGAGATCCACCAATCGCTCATGTTTCGGCAGAGACCTGTGAGAAGGAGAGAGGTCTGGCCCACAATATTTGGGCTCTAATCCTGTATGAGATGCTAGGATATAGGAAAAAATAACCTCAAGGCCATGCTTAATCCAGATTCAAAGGAATGGACCTCAGTGCAGACAGAGACCACAGAGAACGATCTCTCTATCAAGGTCAAAGAATCAGAATCTAAAACTGACAGGCGCTAATGACTAAGAAAATAAAACTCAAATGGAATGAGGAGTCTGAGAAATTACAATGGTGGGAAAAGAGCAAGCGAAGGCCTTAAAGAGAGCATATGTCCAGGCTAGACCCACAAACATTACTCTACAACATTTTGAAACATAGGTATGGAGAGATAGGGCATGATAGCTCTTGGTATAAAACTTATTCCAGCCTTCTAGCTGCTTCTCTGGATCTTTCCCATAGAGATGAATGAAACCAGGACCCACCTCATGTAATGAAACTCCAAAGCCAGATCATTCCAGTGCTTCTCATCTGGAGGGACAACCGACTTGAGGGCACAAGGAAAGTGTCCCCCCCAGTTGTCACATAGGTATACCACACCATACTGGCCTCGGCCCAGTTCCTGTCCTAATTTAGGTTTACCTATAAGATATAGAGACACAGATAAGGCAAGGGGAATGGTAACTTTACTGGACAACTTCTTTAAGATTCTTAGATGGGAAACTACCTAGAGGCTAGGAAATCGTAATTATGCCAGGGGAAGAAAATCTAGTTCACTCTAAACTAGCAGAAAATAACTTGGCTGGTTTCCTTTAAAACCACCTTGGTCATGTTATTTAAACTACATAAATAGCAGGACCAAACAAGACTTCCAGAATCCAAAATCACATCAGTAACAGCTTAGGCAGCTTTGCAAGGCAGCAACTTGAGACTCTGTGATTCTCAAAAGCTGGACATAAAAATGTCCTCCACTAATTTACTTGGGAAAAAACAAGGACTCACGATGCAGCAAGACATCCTGTAAAGAACGGCTCTCAAGGGAAAGGCGGGCCAGGCGGGGGGCATGATCTTTCCGAACCTTCAGCCATAGATCTTCAGTTTTCTCCAGCCGACCTGAGTGGCCAGCTTCCAACTTGGAAGGAAACAGGAAAAGATCTGACTTAACAAATCCCTACCCTCAGCTTCCTCACCTGTTACATAGGAATAATACTATCTACCTCATATGGATAATTCTGAAAATTAAATAACATGTATGGGACATGTTTAATACAGTGACTGGCACATGGTGAACTGCTAATAAACAGTAATTTTCCTCCTAGATACACAATCACATCTATCTACTCTACACACACACACACACCCCAGACAAGCAGATATGATATAACTATGAATTAGTATGGAAACTGGAATGTCTTTCCTTTCTGTCATTCATTCCTAAAATACTATAGAAACTCCTCTCCATTCTTTCCTCACTCAGTGAAGTGGGGAAAAATTAACTGAGTTCCTTCCATTCTCCCCAGACTTACAAAAATATCTGCATGAAAACTTATTGCTGAAACTTCCTATCACATAATACTATCCTCTAGCAGAAAATAAACTGATTTTTTTTAATTGTAAGGAGGGTAGAGAGCAAAGTATTCCCTGTGGATGATGCTCCTGTCTGCTTGTCCAGCTGCACCTCCTTTCCTACATACCAACCTGCCGCAGGGAGGCTGCAAAAGCCTCGTGAGAACTGTTGAGCCGAGTCCGGAACTGGCTGCAAATGCTCTTGGCCAACTTGGAGGCACTGAGGCTCTCGATGGCTTCCTGGGCCACCTTCCTCTTCCATTCCAGAGTAATGGTGGGCGGGCTCACCCACGTGATGCGCTGGATGATCTGTCAAAAAGTAGACAGTGGGATCACTGAGGGATAAGAAAGGAACTACAACAAGACCCCCAACAATGCCCTCCTTTTCTGGGATACCCACTCATTAGAAGCAGGCTCTTAAAATAGGAGCCATACGAAGTCTGAGGCTCCTCTCAAATTCCACGCACCTCAGAAGTAGGGCTCGCAGGAAGGCATCAAAACCACTAGGCCTAGTCTACATGCTCACAAACCTCAGTATGCTACATTCAGTGTGGGGAGTGCCTGCTACATCGCTTTCAGAAGCAGTAAATAACTGTACATAAGAGCCAGGGCCAATTGCAGAACAGGAACCACATTCTCGGCTTCTGGCAACAAGAATGCCTAGTTTTGAGAAAACATTTAGGTTGGATAAAAAAAAATATGAAGAGGATTCCAAGATGGCGGCTAGAGGGAGGAAGCAGAAAGCGAGCCTCCTATAGTGAAATCTTGGAGAGATGCGGGAGACACACTTTGCAGGCAT